TTCTTTTGACAGGAACATTTGTCAGGCAACTTCAAGACATCCACGGGCACATAGAATCATTAGTCTTTTTAAAAAGGATGATAACTGTGCTGTCTTATAAGCACTTAACATTTTTATATCCCTTAATGTTTAAACATTGGTTTTTAAATTGTGGACTGTTTCTTTGTATTTGGAAATACCACCATATGTGTAGATTACACTTCTTAAAATATTTACATTGAAAATAAAGGAGCTTTATTGTAGTCCTTTTTGTTTGCGAGGCAGGATAACACTCTTAAGTGTTCTCGGAACAGATGAGAAAGGTGATCCCGGTGATAGGGAGCTTGAAGCTAGTACTTTTCTTATTAACCAATTGACTTGTCAAGCAAATGGCTCTTTGAATCTACATTAGGGGGAAAAAATGGGGGAGGAAGAGAGGTGTTTTGTACCTTCAAGATTTGCGGATGTTTTCTAGGTAGTAACTTCTCTCGGTGTGGTGCTTGCTGCTTTAAGAGCAAGGAGTGCAAGTCTCGGGGTCACTGCTTAATTCCATTTGGAACAATTTACCATTTGCCTAGAACAACTTTTCCCTGCAGCTTCAGTTTGGAAGCCATATACTTCCTCAATCACGCTCCTAAATTGTTGCCTGGTGTGGCTCTGTGCTATTAAAAGATGGCCATGTTTGACCCCAGTAGTGGGCGAACCGAAGCCCAGCATTGAGAGCTATTACATGTCCTCCGTGGCAGGGCTGAAAGCAGTGTTTACGTTCCGTTTCTGCTGTGTCGTGCAGCGGGGAGGTGAGCAAGGTCTGAATCCCAGCTACGTTGCCCTCCAAAACTGTACGTGTTCCAACTCTGTGCATCTGTATACAACCAGCTCTGCTGTGCTACTTCCCAGGCTTTCTCCTCCTCCAGCCCCAGTCAAGCAGCTCAGCTCCATCTGGAGTTCGTGTTGCCAGCGCTTGCCTCCATACACATGGATGATTTCTAGCCCTCCTGCCCGAGTGAGTTTCAAGATTAGGACCCAGAGAGTGCAACTTGTGGTTTAACAAGAGGAGGATGTTTTCTGCTGAGCATCCCCGTTTGTTGTAACCACTCCAAATTTCTGAAGTTCAGAGTTGATATCAAACTGCTTTTGGGGATCTGGAGTATAATGCTTAAGGTTGCTACCTTGTCCTGAATTACCCCACGTTGGTCAGATCTGCTGCACAGTTGCACGCTGAGCTATGTAATAAACGCAGTGACTCTAGTTGTAGTTTTTTTGTGAAGTTGAAACCTTCAGGATGATATGCAAGTCTAGCTGATTGATTTGGTATCACTAAGCATGTTTCTTCCCCCCCTCCCCCCCCCCCCACCCTTTCCCCCCCCCCCCCCCCCCCCCCCCAAATCAGCCAAGATGCAGTCTGCAGTTTGCATATAATTAAGTGGGGAAACAGCATATACTATTAATTTTTAGCATTTATAAGCACATAGTTTATTACTTGAAGGAACTGTAGGAGCCTAGGATTTTCTTTGTGCAAATAGCTTCTAAGGGAAAAACTCCTTACGTGTCCCACAAACAGCACATGCACACCTAAGTAAATATACTAGATACTGTTAATTTTATATGAACCAGTGTGTTTATTTGGTTTAGTAGTATAAGAATAGCCATAGTAGCTTATAAGACTACTTCAGATCCTACCTGTTTCAAACTGTACTTTAAGAACCTGTAAATGGACAGTATTTTTCTACCTTTTTTTAGCTTGTACCTCCGTTTAAGCCACAAGTTACATCTGAAACGGACACACGATATTTTGATGAAGAATTTACAGCACAGATGATTACAATCACTCCTCCTGACCAAGGTAAATTTTCCCAGCTGTTTCCCACTATCTTCCTTAAACAACCAAAAGTAATTTGCTGTAATGCTGTCCAGTCTCTTTAGAACATGTGGACAAAACTTCAGTTTAAGCTTGTGTGTTTTTCCATATATGCATTTGAACAAGAAATTGGTAAATGGATGTGAAACTTTCCACATCAATCTTTTCCAAACTTGGGAAATGAAAAAAAATATTTTAGAAGATGTCGTGATTACTTGTGCAGTGTCTTCAAAATCTGCGTACTCCCACTGGAAAATAATTTGAGTTTGGCACATGTATATGTGTACCCACATTGTGTATATATCCAACCAGTCAACTGAGTGTGGTCACTATTCAGTCAAAATATATTTTATTGTCATTAATTGAGCATGTTTGATGTTCTGAGTTGGTGACTACCAAAAATTCAGAGCAGTGAATACAGATGTAAGCAGTGCAACTCCTAGTGATATTAAATGGCCATCAGAACAACTATTTTCAGAACATACACAAAAATCAGTATCTTCTGCAGTGCCCATTTGATGAGGTGGGATTTACGATTTCCTGTTTTTTGCCTTGTCAAGCTGTGGAAGAAAAAAGCGACGGTGAATTTGTTGAAAGAACTTAGTGCATTACCTTACTGTTTGCGTATTTAAAATGGAAAAAGTACTAAGTGTTGCCTAACGTTTTTGTGTTCTCAGATGACAGCATGGATTGTGTAGATAACGAGAGAAGACCTCATTTTCCTCAGTTCTCCTATTCAGCCAGTGGAACCGCTTAATGTTTTGCAATGTTTTCCCATTCAGAAACAAAACAGACTGCATTTTGGGGACCTTACTTCAATGGACACTAGAGAACTTTCTATATTATCTGAATTACAAACTGTGTTTGTATTACAATTTAGATAAATTTGTAGGAAGCCTCACAGATTCTGTATTTAAAACAATTCTTTGATGCATTTTTGAGAAGGAAACAAATCCATTCTTAAAGTATTAAGCCAAGGCTTTTATGCTGAATGACCATAGGTTTTTAAGAATATACACCAAAACTGTTTACTTTAGAATTAAGGTATTCAACATATCAGCAACTCTGACCAGAAAATCCCCTTGTTTTATTTATTTCATACAGTTCATTATCTAAATATAGAATCTGCACTCTGAACAATTAGATTTATATAGGAAGATATAAGACTTTAGTAGCTAGTGCAATAATATAAGCAACAAAGTGAACAAACTCTGGAGGTTTAAGGTTCAAACTCATTTTGGACAGCAGTGAAGTGTCATCCGACTCCAGAAAACCAACTATAGGAACAGCATTAATGGCCTCAGTGAGGTAAATCAAAAAGCAAAAGTTATTTTTGTTATAACATCTGCTGCAAGACATTACATATCAAATTGAATTCAGTGGAATCTAGTCCATTACTACATCGTACAGATGAGAGTTCCATTCAGGACAGTGCATTTAATTATTCCATTTGCGTAGAGTTTGGGAATACTTAATAGGATTGGCTTCTCAGAACATAGCACACATTGATTTACCAGTCTAATCCACAGTGCAACAGTGCAAAATCACCCACTTTCAGCAGTGTATAAAAATGCCATACAGGTCTAAGTGAGAAATCATCTTAATGAGTGAGTCAGCCAGACAAAAGTACATTTTGGCACTGAAGTAATGACTTGTTGCCGCTTTTTTTTTTTATGAAAAGATATATGAATATATATAAACACTTAAAGATTTTTTTTGCATCATGCCAGATCATTTCCTTTCTTGAGTGTGCATTAAAGGTATCAGCTGAAAGTTCATGGTGCCTTCTCACTCTTGAAGATTCACTTTAACAGTGTTTCCCATGTGTAGGAAAAAAGCTAGGTTGAAACTTCATGTGTGTTTGAATAATAATGGTGTTCAAAAAGTGAATTTTTTTTGTTTTCATTTTTAATCTTAGTGAAAAATTCCCAACACCCTATTTTTTGTTGTATCATGTTTCTTTGTAAGTTTCATAAAAGCAGTCTTATTCTGTCTCTGCTGCGAATGAACTTATTCCAGTGTAGGTTGCGTCCTCTTAAATTGCTTTTTTTTTGTTTTCCATTCTCTTGACTGTATAAAAATGATGACATGTACTGCAGTTAACTAGCATTTAATTTTTTTTATTTGAAAGGGAGTACGTTATGGAAACCCTCACTTTCCCTTTCCAGCAGAAACTGCTGTTTGCACAGAGAGCCCATCACCTTGATTTTTTTTTTAACAACGTTGAACTCTAGTATTTTTACTTATGATATGAAAGTTTCCCTCAGCATACTAAATAAAATTTGCTTTAACAAGCTAGGTTCTTATTTCTTGTGGTAGGAGCTCTCTGGATTTGTAGAGATGCAACAACTGCTCTTCAGTGCATGCACCTCTGTTGAGGGACTTAGCCTTTTCTGTCCTTCACCAGTTGTTTCATCTCTGGGCTGATCATTATTCAAAGATAATTTTGGAAAAAGTTTAAGTAATACACCCTGTGCCAGAAATACTTTGTGTGTTGAGGTGAATGAGGACAGGCCTCATTTTGCTGTCCTCCTGATGCCAATGAGATTGTGTTACTGAGGCCCTAATCTTCAGAGTTGTTTCTATTCCAGTCACTTGGGTCTGGGTGCAATATATAATACTACATCTAATTTCTAGAGGCTAGTATTTATTGTTTCTAGGAGGTAGCCTTGTGAGGCTTGGAATGTCCTTTTAGGAAGAGAATACAGAAAAAAAGAAATGCAAGAAAATACAAGAATTACAGTATGCTTCAAACAAAGCACAGACCTTGCAACTGCAGTAAGATGTTAAACGTCCAAAATATTTTTTGGCTCAAAAAATAAACTGTAATTCCTAGCAGAGTTTACTGCACGTTTTATGCAAGAATGGAAGGTGGAAGGAGGGATCCATCTCCTGAAGAGGATACCTTAAATTGATGCCAGATAGCCCATCCTGTTCTGCAAGTCTGATCTCGTAACTCTCCTACTGTTCCATTGCTTCTAAACCTGCATCAGAGTTTGCAGCCAGCCAGAACGCTAAGTCCAAAGAACTCTTCTGCCACTCTACAAGCTGTGACAAGTTCTGAGCTAACGTACGTCATGCATCCAAATATAGGCCACACAAATGAGCAAAAGTTACCATCATCTCCCCCAAGGAAAATCTGGTCTCCCAAGTGCAGATATGGATCAGATTGTTCTGGTAAGGCTGATTGTCTCAGAAGGGTATTTTTTTGCTAGTTGTTGCTACTGGATTTTGTTCTAACTCCCATATATAAGGTGGAACAACAATAACACAAATGCTGTCAGAATCTAATAAACCTAGCAGTTAGCAGTAGTGAAACTGGGAGGGCAACACCTGCAGTGTCTTACAGATATTTTTCCCCGTTTCACCAGGGATTATTCAGAACACCTTGCTTGTCATCTGTGATTGAATGATTATCCCCATTACAGCTGTCTACCTGGAAAGGTAAAGTATGTTCTTTAAATTCTGATTTAGCAGTGAAAATGAGCAGCAGCATTATCCATCACTGTTAACATACTGCTGTCCTTCTCCATCAAGAAAAAGTCTGAGACCGGAGTGTCGTCTTCACCTCGGATTACTTTCATACCTTATATGCAGAGACTGCTTAAAGCTTGCAGATTCTTTTAGATCATATGTTCAAAAGTACTTCTCTAACTATCTGTGCAGCCAAAACTTCCTCGTTCTTCCCGCTGGCGTTTGTAAATGTCATCCTTACTCTGGTTTTATCCATTGCGGCAAAGGTCATTTTACTAGCCGATTGGTTTGACAATTTGTTTGACTTTATTCCTCTTGTCTGTGTGTTTTCCTATATTGACTACTGTTTCTCTGTTGGACCAGGCTACTGGTCGTCTTTTTTCTCCTGTGCTGTCTGTCACTTTTTGTACACTGCTGCTGAAATACTGGTATCAGTGCTCACTGTTCCATATTTCTGCACAGCTGTTTTTGTCTTCATGTTGGTCTTTGTACTTCAGTGTCCCCAAACACCTATCAGACTATTGCCTTCCTTGAAATCATGCTTAAAACTCTTCTTGCTGTGATGTCAGCTCAGGTATTGCTGCTGGTTAAACTGACCCGTGCTGTCTCCTTGCTTTTCCCTGTTGCTTTTTGCCTTGTTCTTAGTCCTCTCATCTGAAGTGTGCGCAAAGCTTAGCGCAGTGGAGTCCCGGTTTGTGGTGAAGATGATGTATCTGAAGTGCTACAGTAAAGCTAACGGTAAAACAGCTATCTGCAGACCACTGGTAGTACACATGTTACAGCCCAGGAACTCAGTTATAAGCTAAGGTTGGAAGAGGGGGGGAAAAAAACTTTGCAGCTGTAAACAAGTACACTCAGTCTTATGTTTAGCACTGACTGCAGTCAGGAGACGACAAGGTCAACTGAACGTTGGTATAAACAGAGATACAGTGCTGCTTGTGCTATTTGGGGTTAAGAGACTTTGGCAGAAGCCAGGTGATTGTGCAAATTCCTTTTCATACCTTCCTGACGAACTAAAGCATCCAATACAATCCCATTAGGATATGTCAGACTGCTGTCCTGTCGAACTGGGAAAAGATCACTGTGGTTTATAGCACTCAAGACTCCGTACAAGCTATGACCTCTCACTCCCACAGTAAAACAAACTGCTATTTCTTCATTTTTCTTTCTGCATCATCATCATCATCTTTCTAAAGGTAAGCTCTACATGGTCCCCAGCTGCTGTACCACTCTCATCCAGGCCTAAAGCTGCTTTTCTGCTATTTGAATTTAATCCCAGTTTTCCACTTAAGGAACTAATTACCATAGTTTTCAGATGTTTGAGGTTAAAACTTTTTTTAAAGAATTTAGTGATCTTTTTTTTCTTTTGTGACAATTTTCTTTTGTGACAGTTAGAATGTTTACATGCATTTAAGTGATCAATGCAAGACTGCTGTATCCTTAATACGTAGAAGACGCTCCGCTTTGCAGAGAACATACCCCGCATCAGATTTTTGCCTCCAGTAGTAGGATTTAGGATGGTGGTCCAAAACTAGAGGTCACAATCTATAGTAGGGATGGAAACCCAAAGTAGACTGAGTTGCAGAAGAGAAGCTTACTAACTTAAGTGCCTGTGGGAGTTGTATGGAGCTTCTTCCTGAGAAGTTTGGGAATTGATATTAGGAGGAAGGTTTCATTTGCTTCGCTATATCTAGAAGAACCTTGTAGAGATAAAAACACATTTGAAGAAATGAGCCTACGTGAAAGGGATCTTGTTTCTTCACTGCTATATATTGCAAATAAGGGTGTTTGTCTTCCACTTTTAGCTCAATTTTCTTAATAACAGGGAGGTTAATTGCCACTAGAAGTAAGACTAAAAGAACACACAGTGCCTATAGCAAATGAGCGCTTATTATCCCCAATGCAGCTGAGTGTACAGACGCTTTTTTAGCTCTGTCTAATGGAACACATGTTGCATTCTAATCAGGTGATGACTAGTTGCTCTGTGCCTGAAATCACTTTAAACAAAACCATTTTACTTCAGTACCCCCTTCCTGCGTGCACTGTACATACTTCTGTGGTTCTTCAGAGTGCTTATAGCCCAGTTGTCAGCTTTTCCTTCACTGAAACATTGCTTCATGTCGTCTTCTGCCTCTTACTGCTCACTGCCTTTTTCCCTAAACCTGGGCTTTGTGAACTTCTTCCTCTGCTAAATGTAACTGCACTCTGTTAAGATTCTATTTTTGTGAAATATTCGCATCGTTTCTTCATGTCTTGTCTCATGTAGCAACACTTGCTTGTACTTTGCATCTTCATCAGGCCTTTGAGTTTGTCTGAAGAAGATTATGACCTCGTAGACTGTGGCTGCTCTGTTTTCAGAATTCTGAGGATCTTCATGATTCTGCATAAATGACACACATTTTCCTGCCACAGAAGATGCTATAAATATTTTGAATACAAGACTACAAATTCTTCACAGAAACAAAACCCACAATCACTACCCCAAATGCGATGATCTTCAGTTATTTGTAAACTCTTTATATCATCTTTATTTCCTTGCATCACTGTTTATTTTCTTACAGTACTGATGCTATCAGTCAGACAACTCTGTTGTGCAGTACCAAGAAAACTCACCTCAAAAAATAGTGATTGTGCTTTTCAATGCCATATCTGGGAATTCATTGAAATTTGATTGAAATGAACAAAAAATATGTTCTTAAACTTTATTTTGCTTTGGAAAAAGCTAAAATGGTAATTACTGTTCTTCATTCAGCTTATTGATGTAGAGCAATTGAAACAAATTGGACTTCTTTTAGGAAGTCAATTTGGGCAACACATTGAAATACAAGAAATGCTGTTTAAACAGAAGAAAAAAAACTTTTAACTGTAAGGGTGATTGAACACTGGAATGGGATGCCCACAGAGGTTGTGGTGTCTCTGTCCTGGGAGGTGCTCAAAACCCACCTGGACAAATGTCCTAAGTGACCTGCTCTAACTTACCCTGCTTTGAGCAGGGGGGTTAGACTAGATGATCTGCAGAGAGCCCTTCCAACCTCAGCCATTTGGTGATGCTGTGATTCTGTGAAATGGTTTAGGCCCTGATTTTGAGTGAGGGAGGTTCTTATTTTCCCATCTCTGGTGTGTGTTTATACCTTAACACTGACAAGACCAGTATAGTACTTTGGGGAATATTTTATGGGGTGGATGTGAAAATGTAGTTGATTAAAAGCATCACACGATCAGTGGGAATCAGCACCATCCTTGCTTTGATAGCTTCTGGCAGTACAAACCACATTTTTCTCAATCTGTTTTATATCATTGGCCCTGATCATCCCTAGTTCACTGTATTTATTGTTCTAAGCAAAACACATGTCTGTCTTTGTAGAATTCTACACTCTTAGTTGTATTATAGTTGGAGTTCTTTCCTGTAAGTAATTTTCTAAGTGATATAAACAGTATATTGTATTCTAGTATATTGTTACTTATTTGAACTACAGGCTGTCAGATCATACATACCTCTTAAAGCAGGAAGACTGGCTTTGCCCTTGGGTTGTTTGAGATGGGAGCAGGCTGGCTGGGTAGTCTAGAGTTGATTCTGACATGACTGTGAGAGAAAACGCTAAGTGATATTTGCTCTTTTAAGGGAAGGATTATGTCTGGCTTGCATTAGGATTTGCAACCTAAAAGGATCCTTTGGCTGTTTCTGAAAGGATGCTTTAACAGCATCACCACTAGTCACCTTCATCTCTGCTTGGTTTTGGTGGTTGCAGCTTTTCCTCTCTACAAAATGCCATGCCCAAAATAGATTCCTTTAATGTTCTTTTCACCTGTCTGATAACAGTCACTCAGAAATTGTTTCTAGTGCAGGCTGTAAGTGCTAGCTCCCTGAAGGTAGCTTGCACCTGGTGTCTTACACCTGTACCCCATGGATTTGCATATGCTTCTAGTTTTCTGACTGCAGTTGAAAATGCCTTTTTGACTTAAGTCTCTCGATGTAATCGAATCCAGCAGCTCTTCACATTTCAGCTGTGTCTCAGTCACGTGCCCCAGAATGTCTGAGGGTAGGGTGCTTGGTGCAGACGCTCCTTAGTTTGAAATCTCCTTTTTAGTTTTAATTCAGTGAAGTGCAAATCTGACTTTGAAGAACAATTGCAACATCTTTTCCCAAGCTCCAGCTTGGTATGTGGGGATGTGTGTGTGTGTGTGTGTGTTTGGCTTTTTAAACAATAGCTAATGAACTTTTCTAATGTATTCAATAAATTGTTCTGATGATTTTAAAGAATTTGTGGCTATACAGAAAGATCAAAACACAAGCCCTTTAATAATGAAAATGCATTTTGTGATACTATTCTTAAGAAAGATAGATGCAGGATATAGTAGGCTTTCCATATATCTTCAGCTGCCACAGTTGTTCCTCATTCTGATATTATTGGAGGAAAGGAGACTCTAAATAGGAAAACGGGAATATTTGATGACAATCCAACAGTGAGTATAAGATGGAATTGAATGAGAACAAAGTGGAAAGAGCAAGGCCCCTTTTTGTAAATGGAGACTGAAAAGTTGCAGAGAAAGGGAAGTGTAAGAAGATATAAGTACATTTTGTACTGCTTTTTACACAGGTGGGGTTGTCATAAATTTAATGTGCAACCAAGATAAATTATGGGCTCAAACTTCGTATCACCCTTTACTTGAAACTGTAAAACCTGAAATCGTGTTATGTTTCTGAAGTATTACTTTCTGTGCTAATATGCTCCATTATCAAGGAAGTGAAGATCAAAGTTGTCTGCTTGTTATTTTAAATATCATGCCTTAAATTTGCCTTGCTTTTTCTTATTCTCGTAGACTGATCGTTGGGTGGAGATGAAGGTGATGCATTCTAGTCCTAGGTTGACCGATGAATGGGTTCCTGGATTACTTTGAGAAAGTTGTATCACATCTGTGCTGCTTATTTGTCAGTGGTAGAATAAGTATCCTAACAATACAGTAGAGTACTGACGTTGATGAAATTAATATGTAAGCGTGAAGTAGTGTTGTCTGTGATTCCTCTATGCAAAACATATCTATTGTCTTTTAAAAATCAATGCTGGAAACTCAGTTTTTGTTAGCAATCTCTAGATAATAAGACACAGGCACATGTTACAAGAAAGTAAAAGTCTGCGAGGGAACTTTTGCAGTGTGAAAACCCCCTAGATCCAAGTGCATTTACCTATTTTTCTAATAGGTTTAGCTCAGATTTACATAAAACCAAAGCGCGTGTGTGTATGTGGCATATGATACTGGTAAAGGTAGGTGAGGTGCTAAAGAAGAAGGCTGTAACAGCACAAAGCAGCTTCCAATTCCCCCTCTGGAAAAATCCCCCACAGGATTACAGGCAATGGTAATGCCATCTGTCTGTCTTCTGCAGAGTCAGTCTTCTCTCCTGGGAGCAGAAAAAGAACTGGCACATGGAGGTGGGCTTTCACTCCCCTGCTGCACTGAGATTGGATATAGAGTGCTGTGCTGATACCTGTAGAGAACAGGCTTCTCTGTTCTGTGCCCCAATTTGCCTACTGACCTTTAAGTCGGTTACCTTTTTTAAACTTCTGTTCTCTTTATTTTGTGCCTGGAGTCTGTCTTTTTTCCCTTATGAGACCTTCCTCCTTTCCCTGTCTCTCTCCAGAAAATACAAAGTAATCAATGGACTTCTTCCTTTCCCTGCTTTTTCTCATTCTTATTTATGCCTTCTTAGTCTGTTTCAAATCTTCATCTGAAATCCCCTCTAGAGGGTGTGTTACAAACTTGCTGGATTCCCTTATTCGTAAAGAATTCTTTTGTGCAGGGTCCTGATGCTAGATGCTCCTTAGGTTCCTGTGGAGGCTTGAGGGGTCCAAGATGCATCTAAGCTGCCTTTTAAACATCTAAGGAAGCTGCAACACTCTGTTTCTTGGTCTCTCAGATAAGTGCAGATTTAATGGGAGAAAGGAGGCATGCCTCCTAAAGCCTATAATGTAATCCTTCTTTCTCCCATTAATAGCATCTGGTATGGCACCTGGGCTTCCGTGTCCTAGGAGAAAATCCTGACCATAGCCTAAGGGTTACCTTAGGCTGACCAATCCTAAGAGCTGCCTGTAGAATCATGACAGATGCATTTAGGGATGCAGAAGACCTAACTGAGGCAGGACTCCCTCTGAGTTTCAGTGATTTCCTGTTCCTATTTGTATTTTAAATATGTATTCTGCTGTGTAAGCACAACTGGAAATCACTAGGGTAGGAAAGGGGAGATAACTAACTGTCTAACACCTTTCATCATTCAATCTTATTTCTTTAGTAGAGTTAGATGGGATTCAGTTGTGTTAAAAACAACAACAAAAAAAAAAACAAAAAGAAGTCATTACTTTGTTCCTGTTCCAGGGCATCCCTAAACTTGTGTGTTTAGTCTTCCAGGGGGTAAATGTAAGAAATCTGTGGAAAGCAAAACAGATCAGTTCTCTGCCCTTTATCTAGTTTGTCTTTCCACTGTGGCACAAACTATAGAGTTTAAGCTGTCCAGAATTTTGTATAAAAATGCAGTTAGATTCCTAATATGCGATGACTGAAAATCTCTGATGGAACACATTTAAAGAATTTTTAGGTAGGTACCTATAAACTCTTTTAAACTCTTATAAACACTTCAGAACTTTAAAATCTGGGAAACTGACACTAACCCTTTTTCAGCTATCAAGTGCATTGCATCAGTCTGCAGTCTCTACAGCCTGAGATATATTTAATCCACTCTTCCAGTGGTGTGAAAAGCTTGCAGTCTTGTTCCAAAAAACTGGTTAAACTCTGTCTCATGTTCCAAATCATGTCATTTCCCATCCTACTTCTACTGACCCACTGAGGTACTCCATCTTTGGCACCTATCCCTCATTATCCCCTGGGTACCCACTGATCTAATTTTCCAAGAGGAATTGGGGGGGGGGGAGTCCTGCCAGGCAGTTTCATGGAAATCACCCAAGACACTTCAACACCCAATTCCTGGATGATATTGTCCCATCCTGTAGTCATCCTGTTTGGCTCCAACTAGTCTGCAAACACAGCTTCAAAATAAAATCAAGACAACCTAACCTCCCTATTGTGTCTTCCCCTCCCTTATTTAGGCAGCTAAATATTGAAATACAAGCATCTGGACTCCATAAATTCTTCTGTGACCGGCCCTGTGTTTAATACGTAGCCAAACCGATGGTTATCATTAAACAAATGACAACACTAGAGCATAACAAATTGTATACAGGATCAGATCCTCATCTGCATAGTTCCATTTGCTCAGTGACACTAGGTTGATTTACACAAGCTGACAAGTCAGTCCTCTGGGCTTTGTGTTAATGCAATTGGCTAACTGCTCTGAAACCAACACGAAATCCACACCATCTTGCAACTCAAAGAAGTGCTCTTGTCTCTTGTTAAACTCTGAATGAAATGAGGTTTTTGGTAACAATTGCAAGAGCAGTAAACGATAGCAAATCTCTCAAACACAGCGCATAATCAAGAATGTAGCCACAGCTAGGCAAACCAGACTAAAACAACTGAAACAAAATACTGCTGGAGACAGGTTTAAATATAGACTCAAGCATGTGAAGAGAGGTTCTGCTGCTGGGGCAAATTGTCTCAGTAATATGAAATACCATAGGGAACATGTCAGAATAGTTTGTTATAATTAATAAAACAAACACAATCCCTACCCTGCCAAAATTTTTGAGTAATTAGTAAGTCCTTATGTGGGACCTTCTGAGTATTTCCAAAGCTTTCTGAACACTAATGACACTTGCATACATTATGTTCAAATAAGCATCAAAATAATGATCTTCTTCAATTTATGTCACATGATCCAAGGAGCTCAGGTCATAGCACCTTTGCTTGGGTGGCATACGACCAGATTGTCAAAAACCATTCTTACCGAGCGCTGCAGGGTACTATAACTTAAGTGATTCATGCATGCAGCTGTTGGAACTGCTTGCTGGGTGGTGAAAAAGCTTCTGGTGCCAAATGCTGATCTAAGAGAACTCGGATCTTCATCAGCCGTCTTGGCTCTGAGTAGTTACGGAACAACAGATGGTAGCACAAGTTAAGCAAACTAAGAAAATATTCTGAGTGGCAAAGTAAAGTTAAAAGCCCTGCAAGAACTGTATTTTCTGGAGCAATTCAGAGAACAAATGTGGAGGGTTGAACTAGTTTACATCCGCAAGTGATGTAGGCCACTAAGTAAGAACATTAAGATGTAGTCTTATCTGATAGTAAGCAGTTCTGAAGCACTCATGCAAATTTTCATTTAATTTGGGCAGAGAAGACTACCTAAGACATTTATATTACAGAAATTTCAGATGAAGCTCAAAGCCCCAACTCTTGCACATTAAGCTGTATTTGCTCTGTAAAATACAGTAACCCAAGTCAGTAGCTGGTGCTCAGGAAAAGATAAAGGAACCATAACAGATCACATCATTCTGCAGTAGATGGCAAGCAGCAGCAGCCATGAAGGGACAGCATCACGAGCTTGGATTATTTCTTCATCAGAGCAAGGGACAGCTTTTCAGCAACTAATGGAACATTTTGCAGACAAAAGTGCACAAGTGATGGTCATACCCAAATCAGTAGTATCACTACCAAAAGAAGAGAAAGTCAGGAAGAGATGAACACAGAAGAATATGGTGTTAAAGTAATAACCCTATCCCCAAGTAGGTGAATATGTGCAAGTATATGGAGTAAACAGAGTGAGAGAATTGTAATAGCAGGAAATGAAAGTCCCTCTTAATTTGGTTTCAGTACCTTCTAGTTCTTGGTTTCAGTAAGACAATGCACTCATTAGGCCATGAACAAAACAAGTCAGGAAGCGCTCAAAAGATATTTTCAGGAGTCACAGAAACTCATATTGAACAGTAGTTCCACACACACATGAATGAGTCTTCTGTAGAACTTCTTTACTCCAAAGGGTTGCTGAATAATAAAGGTGTTGCATTCACATGAAAACTTCAACCATCTAAATACACAGGTGTCTTAGACCAGCTCTGTAGGTGACGAAAAATGTAACTACCCTCAAAGTTCTCTCATTTTCAGAGAAGGGAGGACTGACTTACTTGTAGAAAAGCCTTGAGTTAAACTGCTCAGAAGAAAATGAAATGAAGAATGAAGGAAATAAATAGAGCACATTAGCTTTCTTTTAACAACCTTTTGAGGAGACCATGAAAATACTGTTCATCCAAAAGGACTAAAGTCCCAGGTTTCTTAGCTTGCTTTTACTCTGTTTAAAAATATTTTTAAATCTAATTTGTGGCAGTAAATAATGTTGGCATCATGGAAAGAGTAATCAGAACAATCAGATTATTCATTTAATAAGGTTACTCAGTGCAAAGAAGTAAGGGAGAGTCGAGCTCCTAAAATGAAACTCACTGAGTCTGAGACACATAGAAGTACGTTAATATTTGTATACAAGCTACTTGGTTACAAATTGAATTATTTCTTTAGGCTCTTGGATCTATATTCTGCAGAGTGCTGTGATCTACAGCACAACCCAGTTAAACACTTAAGGATATGCTTAAAGTTTCATCAAATGCGTAGTTCTAGCAGAGTAAACATGATGCAAGACTAGACATTCTCAGACCACATAACCATTTACCAATTCTTCAGTTCTGGCAGTGGTCAGTAGTCAGTGCTTAGGAGAACAGTAGAAGAATAGAGCAGGTCAAAAGCACTGATGAGCTTTAAGAGTACCATAAGCTCGTAAGTTCCTAAGTCTCCAAAAACAGCACAGGGAACACATGAAGATTCAGCCTTACATCTCAAGGAAAATCGGTTAGAATTTCAGTTTGGAAATATCTGAAGGTTATTAGGTCCAACCCCCTGCTCAAGGCAAAGTCAAATCTGAAGTTATTTCAGGGGGCTCAGGACATTTCCCATGGGATTTCAATAGTTCCAAGGATGGACTTTCAAATACCTCTGCAGGTAGCCTCTTTCAATGCTTAACCCCTCTTATAATAAAGAATATTTTCCTTATATCTAATAGTACCTCCCTTGCAATAACTTGTATCTGCTGCCCCCTATCCTTTCACTGTGCATCTCTGAAGAGAGCCTGGCTTCTGTCTCCTTTTAATACACCTCATTGCGTAATGGAAGGCAAAAATTATATCGCCCCTTAGCCTTGCCTTGCCTTCCCTTCTCCAGCCAGATCAAGCACAATTCTCTCAGCCTCTCCTTGTACATCCCTTTCCCCAGAATCACTCACATCAATAGCTTTCTTGTACTGGGGAGCCCCAAAATGGGCACAGTGCTTCAGATGCAGTATCATGAGTGACTGATAGAAAGAATCACTTCCACAGTTTCCTGCTTATACTCTTGCATAAGCCCAACATGGTCAGGCTTTGTCATAGTGAGCAGTGTGTCTTTGCTCACATGCACCTTGTCCACCAGGACACCCAGGCCCCTTCCTGCAAAGCTTTTCTAATCAGCCTGCACTGTTGGGTGAAGTTTACCCAGATGCAAGACTTGACACTACCTTTATTGAACTTCAGGAGGCCCCTGACAGCTCATTTCTCCAGCTGCCACCCTTCAAGTATCAACCACTGCCTCCAATCTGTTATCATCCAGGAACTTGCTAAGGTCCTTTCTGTCCCATCATCCCAGTTATTAGTGA